ACATAAGTATGAGGACTGATGGCCACTGTCAGTCTGACCTCTGTGGAAAGGAAAAGCTATTTCTGTGCCTGTGACCACCCTGTGACTTCCCACTGCACTGTCCTGTACATGTTATTGTTGAGTAATATTATTTTATTAGATTAGATTAAATTAGATCATGTTATGACATTACATATGGAAAAAAACGAAATCTTTTTAATTATTTTGACATTACATAATACAGAATGTCACAATTTATCTTCCTGCACTACATTTTGGTCCTATATTATATGTCTGGAGATGCTCCATGTAATCACTAGGTCATGTAAACTGGTCATTATTCTGCGTCTTGGGCTTATCCTTACAAAAATGACTACCTGTAAGTCACTAGTGGCTGCTGATGTATTTGCTGTTGCAAAATGTTGACAACACAGTGAACTGGGAGACCCTGCTATGCAGCAGGCAGGAGACCTTGGCTATTTTTTAGTCAATAATGTGCTTGTTGAGAAACAGCTGTACTCTACCTGCTACACCAGTACGTTACTCTTTAAAAGCATTACCAGGAGGTTTACAAGGATCCATTCAGCCGCTGAACTCTTATATAAAGACTAAACCTCCCTCGACCATTACTAATGGGCATCCATGCTGAGAAAACTACATTGCAAAATTGGAGAAAATTGCTCCTTAGGGCTCTCTCATATATTTTTAGTGCCAATGTACTAAAAAAAAAGAGCAACAAAGAGACTCATTTGGAGAACAAATGTTCTCATTATGATTAAAAGGCACACACAGAAGCAGAAGTAGGCCTCACACATTATGGAGTAATCTGTGTACCCCCTCACTGTTGGAACACTGAGGAACATCTGCACATCTGTAATGTAAGACAGTGGCTACAGGGATAATGGTGCAGGTTCCTAAATGGTTCTTGGCTTGGATATCTTAAGTTCTTGGAAAAACCCTTTAAATGATCCAGAACCTTTGCACTCAAACTCACTAAATTTTTTTAAAGAATTCTCCATTGAAAGGTTCTTTAAGGAAAAGAAGGTGATTCTTTTTTGGTATTATTTCCAAAGAACTGCTTTTGGTACCTTGTATTTACTTTCTCCCCTTAAAGTCCACTTATGACCTTTATGTGGCTTTTTGTACCAAAAACAGTCATAGTTCATTTTCACTTGACCATTTTCCAAACTTTCTTCATCCTTACACTCTTAATAAGGTGCCACAAATGGTTCTTTGAGACATTTTTGACGTAGGATAACCATTCTGTTTGGTTCCTTAAGGAAAAAGGGATTTGTGAGTGTGAAGAACCTTCTAAAGGTTTAAAGAACCTTATGTAATGGAAAGATTCTTTACAACTTTAAGGGTTCTGTACATTATGTGGAGGTTCAGTTTTAAGAAAAGGTTCTTTACACCTATTCACCTCTTTTACAAAAAAGGTTCTTTGAAGAACCATCCGCCGAATGGTTCTCAAGGGAACCAAAAGTGGCTATTTTAAGGCATTGTGCAAAGAACCCTTTTTGGCATCTTTATTTTTAAGAGTGTAGAGTTAAACAGGCTGCCATTCAACAAACAGTCAAAGAAACACTCCTTATAACTCCATCATAAATGGGTGGGGCTAAACTGCTGCAGGCTAAATAGACAGATATATGTAAATGCAATGTTTTTTTTGTGTGTTGTCATTCAAAACTCAGTGTTTATGCATCTTAATTTCCATGCTTGGGCTGTATAAACTGGGGAGTGAATGGCTTTAACAATGTAAACACACTACATCAATCTCTTATTTCAAACAGGTGAGGTTTTCCATGATACGAAAGAGACGCAGAGAAAAGCCCACTGTTGCTAAAATGGCTGTCTGTCTGTGCAGCCTTTCCTCCATCTCTAACCTTTTGTGACTTAGGATATATTTTGCACTCTCTTGGGCAAAATCGGTTGTACAGCTGATTAGTCATCAACATCAGCCACAGTACTTCCTCTCTTTCATGGTCATGTTGAACAGTACGGGATGGGAAGTAGACTGCGAACCCTGAGCCCCTTCAACCAGAGCAGTTCCTCTGAGAGCTGCTTCTTTCCGATCAGCAGAGGAAGACAAGAACAGATGAAAGAGCTTAGCAGGGTGTTATGTAAACAGGAGGGAGCGGCGGCGGCCTCGACACACCTGGGGCTCGGAGAGGGCGAGCGTAAAGGACTCCTGTGCTAACATTAATAAGCTCCAGGCGGAAAGTATGAGGGAGGCATGTGAAGAGAAGTGTACAGTTCACTGGCGGCAGGGCTAGATCAGAGGCAGCGTGTTGGGAGAGAGGAATGCTTGACGTCATCCGCAGTGGCCTCCAGCTCCTTGATTATTAACAGCTGACAACCCCCCTCCTCCTCTGCTCAGCATGTGCCCTTCTAGTCTCCTTACAAACCCCCACTTAATGAAACACATTTTCTGGAGAAGTCATGATGTCCTAGTAACGTACAGTCGTGTGCAAATCTTTGAACACCCCTAGTCAAGGGGAACAAACTCAAATATGACAGTTTCTGCAAATTGTAGTGCACAATTATATTTATTTGCTGAATTTAATATATTGGAAAAAACATGAAATATAAAATATGACATGACTTCATAAGGTCACGTTTTTCCTGCATTTTCCCCCCAATATGTTCAATTCTGCAAATACAGAGTAATTGTGCATTGAAATGTGGAGTTTTTTTCACTTAGGATAATGCAATTTCACAAGGGGGGCCCAAGTTGGCTGTATAATCTGAGTGATTAGGGAGGTGTTTAGATTATGTTGATTGAGATTATAATGGATGCTACAGTAGTATAATGAATCACACCTTTACTCACTGCCACAAGGTACACCCACCTTATTTCTAAACTCATTGTCCATTGTATCAGGTCCATTTTGCACATATATGCACTTTGTAGTTCCACAATTACAGAATGTCCATCTGTTTCTCTGCATCATTTGTAAACAGGACCAATACTGGGGGCTGATATATTTGGGAAAAATATCTAATTGCAATTTTCCTGACCAATATTATGACTGTGATTTAAATTGTGATTATTTTCTGTGAATGTTCTATACATTTTCTGTCTTAAAGCTTGAATGCTGAATGCAGTGTGCCAGACTGCCAGTCAGTTGTGGTTGCCTTGTCATGTTCACAGCACATGCTTGCTTGCTTTTGATTGGTCGGACTGATCTGCAGGCATAAGCTCTGCGTTATTTGGTTGAAATTCTTTATTCATGACTTAAGACAGCACTGTGGACAGTGTGAGATGTAATAAAATGTGCACCCATACATTCCAGTTGAGCACCGATGGTTTCCCGGCAAGAAGGGTAACCAAATTCTGCATGGGTACTAAGGTGTGCTGCCGGTCACTTGGTAGTGGAAATCACCACAAAATGTGTGATCATCACAGATTTGTCATCCTCTAGTCCTTCATCAGTGGTCACAGGACACTGCCCACAGGACGCTGTTGGCTGGATGATTTTGGTTGGTGGACTGTTCTCAGTCCAGCAGTGACACTGAGGTGTTTAAAATCTCCAGTAGCACTGCTGTGTCTGATCCACTCAGACCAGCGCAACACATACTAACACACCATCACTACGTCAGTGTTACTGCAGTGCTGAGAATGATCCACCATCCAAATAATACCTGCTCTATGGTGGTTCTTTGGAGGTCCTGACTATAGAAAGTGGTAGAGAAAGAGATGAACTACAGTCTGTAACTGTAGAACTACAAAGTGCACCTATACGGTAAGTGGAGCTGATAAAATGGACAAAGAGTATAGAAAAAAGGATGTGTACTTGATGAAATTGTCAGTGAGTTTAGGCTTTGCTCAGACAGGGACCTCAAATCTGCTTGCCCCAAAATGAGCAGGATAAATTGTCTGCAGTGTGAACTGTGGAAAGATAAGTAGCTATAACTGTACTATAACTAGCACTTGTACATGTGATTATTACTACTATGACTATGCTAATTTCTGCTAGCTTCTGAATCTTATAACAGACTTTCAGGTAATGTTTTTTAGGTGCAAACCACCTCATGGAACTGTCTTGTAACTCACTCACTTATCTACAAGGGGCACAATTAGCAGTCAAAAATCTTTTGATGCTTCATAAGAGCAGTGTTTCGCATCAGTGACACTGTGCGTCCTTGTCACTTGGTATGTTGCATTGACCGCTTCAGTAAAGATCTGAAATTTGAAAGCGTGTCTCTGAATATTACTGGATGAACCTGTTAGCCTGTTGACCCGCTCAGCCTACTCTAGCCATGTTTTGTTCATGTTAAAGTTGGTAAAAAGTGCAACACTGCTGTAAAATATGTCTTGATCCTTTTTTTAGCTGGTTATATTTTTAGTTATAACTGGTTATCCAAGTTTCGTCCCTCCCTAGTCAGCATACTCACATGTGCGTTCTAACGACTATGCAAATGTGGTAAAAGCTGACTACAGAAACTGGATATTGTCACATGTATCTGTCCAATTCGTCCTGCTGTGTGAACAAAGCCCTTAGCCCTTAATTATATCATAAAAATCAATTGAAGAATATTTTTGAACTTACGTGTTTTGAATTTTTCATCATTAGTTAAGTAGTTTAGGCCCAAGTGAAGCCTTAACTTTGGTCCATTTCACTAAAAATGTTTTTAAATATTTAAAGGAAAGCAAATTATTAACTTGGGATCATGTCATAGTGGTTTGTTGGTATTAGTAAAAAAAAAACAAGTACACAATGAACATATGTAAAGACACTGAAAGATATTCTATTAATAATTTTCTTCTTATAATTTCAATTTATTTTTCTTCTTTTAAGTAAACATTGACAATAAACAGTGTGTTGCGGTCAGTAGAAAGGTAGAATATTTTTAAATATTATAAATACATGTACTATATTTTTATTATCATAATTATAATTCAATAAAGAATTATATTCTTAGTTAAAATTTTCATTATTTTTTAGAAGTCATTTTCATTTATGCTGAAGAAACGCTTTTAACTTGGTGGGTGTTTTTTCCTCCAGCGCCGTTTAGAAGCTGCGCAGTGTAGCCGGAAACAGTCTGGAAGCCGAAATGGCCGGAGCGGAGGGAGACGATTCTCTTTACCCTATTGCGGTTTTAATCGACGAGTTAAGGAATGAAGACGTTCAGGTGAACTATAAGCTCATTTGTAGTCTCTTCTGATAACATCTGAGGTGCTATTGTCCGTTCAGAGCGGTGAACTGTGAAGCAGAGAGCCCGTCTTCACAGTCCGAAACAGCTCTGATGCTAATTTCGGCTAATGCTAGTTACACAGTGTTGTAGGGGAGGAGGCGTCGGCCTGTTTTCCGCAACGGAGAAACTGTTACTCTGTGAAATATAACTCTTTTTGTACCTCGGCAGTGAGTTCACTACGACGTATATTTCGTCTGAGCTTTCTGTTTTTTTGTGTTTAAAGTCGTGTCCGTAGGCTGGCTAGTTTATTCGTTTACTGGCTGACCATCCCGCTAAGCTAACCCAGCTAGCAAACCAGGCAGTCAGATGTAGTTGTTGGGGTCCAGCCGACGGGTGTACATAGAAATAATAGTAGTTAATAGTGATAATAATAACAAGAACGGATTCTTCTTGTTATAATAGTTATAATAATGACTATGATAGAAATTATTATATTTAAGATCAAGAATGTCGAGCTGTGAAGATGTAGCTGCAAAGACGTCTAAGACAAATGTGCACTCGAGCTGCACATTAGGATAAGTTAAAAGTGGCAGAACAATTACAGTCTAGTACTTAGGCATGTGTGTAATATCTGAAGAAGGGCTAAGGAAGAAACCTGTCCTCTTCTCTTTTCCATTTTTTTTCCGGTCAGTGTAGCGCTACAAAGACTACTTTTCTAAATAGTAATATAAAGTCTCTTACATGGAGTCTGGAGTGAAATCTGGATCTTCTCACAGTACGTTATTCCTTCAGGGCGTTCGGGTTCTGAAATTCCATAAGCTGTCAACTCACTTGGAATTAAAGACAGGACATTTAATACTGTGTTTTTAATACAGTTAATACAGTTTTGTAATGTGTGCATGGTTGCTTAAGTATTGGGACAAATTAACATGAGTTCTTGTACTTGTAAATGTAAGATAACAGCTGAATCTAAGCTGAAATACTCTACTTCTTTGTATCTGCAGTTACGACTGAACAGCATCAAAAAGCTGTCAACTATTGCCTTGGCCCTGGGCGTGGAGAGGACACGCACGGAGCTCATACCATTCCTCACTGGTATGTCTGTTGTTCAGGAATCATCCCTTTAAGTGTGTTGAGATATCTAGTTAAAACATTTTGGTCCTCTTTGTCTGCATAATGTAAAATTTGTTCCTTGAGCAGTTGTGATGATAAGATGATGATTTTCAGTCATGGTCCTGGACTACCACTGCCACACAGCAACATACAGGGCAGTGGTTCCCCTTGATCATATTTGAGAACTACTCTCTAAGGGCATTTTCACATTTTGACCATTTTAATGTTTCAGACCTCTGAGTTAAGGTTTTCTGTGCATGTGTGAGCACATCAAATGAACTAAACAGTCCCAAAATAATCCAAACTCAGTATGTTTCGTTTGTGGTTGATTTCTGGTCCAGTTGATTTATGCATTGTGAAAACAAAATGGCCCCAGTTTGCTTTGCATTTTGCTTTATGGTACAAGAACCTTTATTGTACATACACAGCCACAGTCTTTCAGAACTTAGAAAGTAAAACAAAGTGCTCCACATAACGGCTGCCTCTGGGTTTGTGTGATCTTGTGAAGAGACAGCAACGCTGGCATATTAAAGTAAGAAGAGGTTTTAGTGTTTAATGGTGATACTAAATACACACACAACGCAGAGTTAAACCCCCAACCAAGGATGTGCATTCTGACAAGTTTTGATATGTGAGTGTCTGCAAGACTTGATGGATGGATATCCGGTGATAGATAGATAGATAGATAGATAGATAGATAGATAGATAGATAACTTATTGATCTCAAAGGAAATTTAGCAGCCAGTAGCAGTCACACAACACAGGACTAATGAGGATGTAAACAATATAACAGGAAGAATAAATAGAAAAAAAAAATCCTATCTACAGGCATATATACAAATAGAAAAATACAACAATCCGTAGTTCCGTAGTTACTGGGGGGAAAAAAGTACTTGGACTGAAATTAATGTGTGTTCGGAGGCTTACGCTTTTATATGATAGCTCTGATAAGAGCTAAAACTTAGTAGTGCAAATTTTGCGGCAAGCAAGCCGAGGAATACAGTTGAAATAAAATGTATTGTTCAATAAAAGCTGAAGAATATCAGTAGTTTTCGTGTTGAATGAGTAACATAGGTTGCCTCTAAATATAAGCTAAAACTACAGCTAACTGGCTTGGCGCTAAAACAGTTCTAAAACAGTAAGGCGTATACTAAAAGGGTTCTGCAGGACCAGGATTCCTGAAAACTAATGTAAAGAAATACAGCCCTGTCGTGTTTCACTCACTCCTTTGAAATTTTAGTTCATTGCAGCTAGTGTTGGGGATCTCTAGGCACCTCACGATTCGATTCGGTTACGATTCAGAGGGCTGCAATGCGATTATAAAACGATTATCGATGCATCTTTTTTTCTATACATGATTTCTGTTTTCTTACTGTCTGAAGAGTTGGTACTTTTAAAGCTAAGTATTTGTAATGATCCATAATGCATTTATGTCCAATATCTTTTATTAACAAAACAAATGGAAGTGATGAGGCAAGTGAACTAGAACGCTCTCATTTACTGCTCTTGTTTGGAGACGCTGCTGCCACTCATCTGTGATAAAATGCGCTGTTAGGGTGAAATAAGATCCAGTGGTGATGGAGGACCACGCAGCACATTATAGTCGTCCTGCCCGTTTTCTTTAGTGATTTTATAACTTCGGTTTTGGTCTCGTGGAAGAGCCGGGGGGGGGGAGATCACTGTGTCAGTAAAATAAAATATCTTCGGGACGGGGCGTGTGCAGCATAGCGCGAAAGCCCTGTTTCTCAACGACTGAGAATTGGCGTGCAGACTGCAGGTCATCTAGCAACGAGGTTTTGCCGAGCTAGTAGCGAATGAAAAAGGAAAAGAAAAAGACAGACGAACATTTGGAAATGAATGGACTTATTCGTGTTTATAAGCAACGTAGTTGGTTTCCTGATACGTTAAATCTGCAACAAGAGACTGTCAAACACTAAAAAGTTGCGAAGATGAAGTCACTTTTCTTACTAATTTTCCCGTTCCACCTTAAATAGTGCTGCATTTACCTTCGGCGCCTCAGGCAGAATTTAAGGTGGAACGGGAAAGTTCAGCAAGAAGCTGGCGAATGAGAAGCAACTTCAGCCTCGTAAAACAGCCGAAAGCTGAGAGACATTTTACAAGAAACTATTCAACTTTTGAGGAAAAGTTTTCTGGCGGAGATGGAAGAAAAGTGGCTATAGCTGAAGCTTAAAGCAGAGCAGAGTAAATCTGCGTTTTCGTTTATGTTATTGTGCCGTCACAGACTGTCTGGGTGCTGCACTTCCGAACTTCCAAGTTCCGCCCGTTGCGTTCCGTCAACATTACGTTATAAATTAAATATTTAGAAAATCTATTTTTGACATTGAATGAATCGATTCAGAATCGTGCACGTCCACATCGTGATGCATCTAAGAATCTATTTTTTCCCGCACCCCTAATTGCAGCTGACTGACCACATTTTGCCACAGTCATCTACAGATCATGAAGTAATGAGAGCTTCTACATTTGTATTTTAGTTTCGAGCTGTCAAGCCTTTAAAATTAAAATTGATCTGAGCAGTTAAATGTAGTTTTGAGTGCTTTAAGCTTTCCTCTCTCTTCTTATGCAGACACTATTTATGATGAGGATGAGGTGCTTCTCGCTCTGGCTGAGCAGCTGGGTAACTTTACCGTGCTGGTCGGAGGGCCGGAGTATGTGCACTGTCTCTTGGTAAGACTTTATTATTATGTTTCTGTTTTTAAATCCAGTTTGTTATTGTTTTGCTGCACACATTTCTAGTGGACAATGTATTTTGCGTACCTTATATTAGTAGTGGGTGATATACCGGTTTGTTTTGTACATCGGTTGAAATTCTTCTTAAAGTATTAGTTTTGTCATTACCGTTATACCGGTAACTGCTGCACCATTTAAGATGGAACAGGAAAATTCGAACAAGGAGCTGGCGAATTAGAAGTTGACTTCAGTTCATTTCTGTTTTAACTGTTTAGCCAAAAAAATATTTTAGACTAACTTCAGTTTTTAAATGTGGTAAAGGGACATCGGAATAATACATTATTGTTAATCTGCAAAAAAGGTTTACCTAAGCGACCAAAAGTGGGTTTATTTTAAAAATATACATAAATACACTATACCATGATTAATGCCAAAATCATCAGTAATCTTAATTATACTGTGACATAACTTTTTGCCCATGCCTCCCACTACTGCTTAATATTTTTTGTGATTATAGGGAGCTATGAAAGTTTTATCTTTTCGTAAACTCATTTTTTTTTTATGGTTTATTTTTTGATTCAGATTTTTACGTTTTTACTTATTGTTGCTGTAAGAATGTATGTATAGGGAAAAAATGATAAGCAAGAGAGAAATTGCACTTTGTATTCTTTTTCTTGAAGCTGCTGAAATAACATTCAGTAACAGCAAGAAATGCTGTGATCATAAATTAACTTTATAAATCCATTAATTAATTTATAACACACTCACTTCCTCACTCACATTTAGGAGGCTAAAGATTTTCCCCAAGCAGGTGCAGTCAGTGCTTAAGTAGTGTTTTTAAACATCACAGGAAACTGTCACGACTCACTTGACTAGGTGTACTTTCACTGGCAAATAGAACCCCTTGCACAAACTGGGAAGCAGACTTGAAGAAAAAAAAAAAAACAAACCCATAACCCAAACCGCTGTTGGTGTGAACAGACATGGTGCAAGCGGATGGTTTTGCAGTTCCCAAGACATGTCCTGTGATTCTAATATGACTTCTTGTCATCTAAAACAACAAGTGGCGTTGTTTTATGAAAGCTTAGCTGCCAGTATGCATTTTTATTCCAGTGTGATGCTCACTGTATATGCATTCACATTTTCTGCCCTCATGTCCCCAGCCACCTTTGGAGAGTCTGGCCACTGTGGAGGAGACGGTAGTGCGGGACAAAGCTGTGGAGTCTCTGCGGAAAATCTCACAGGAGCATTCTCCTGTGGATCTGGAGGTGCACTTCGAGCCCCTGGTGAAGCGGTTGGCCAGCGGTGACTGGTTTACCTCCCGCACATCTGCCTGTGGCCTGTTTAGCGTATGCTATCCACGCGTTTCCAGCACCGTCAAGGCTGAGATCCGTCAGTAAGTACTACTGAAATCATGGTTACCAAGGGTGTAACAGCTTCAATATGAGATTAACAAAAATGTGTGTACTAAAAGGGTACTGGAATGTACTAAAATTGTATTGCCAATGCATGCAGTGGTCTTTTCTCAGGTTCTGTTGTTTACCATTGTTTGTGGAAACCACTGATCAAAACTAAGCATCTGGGTGCATCCTGTCAAGGTGGGGGGGGCTTATGCTATACATTCACCTACACTCAAATAGCTATCACTTATAAATTCTAGGAATTGCATATTTTGGGACTTGTTTTGTTAGAGGGCTTCTGTGTCAGGCACTGAAAGTTCTTTGGAACTTTTATCTATCTGAGACAAGCAAATTTGAGTAGTATTTAGTTAAAAGATCTGTAGGAGACATTAGCACATGAAATATTGAAAATCAGTTTGAATCTTGACCTCAGAATCGAAAATCATGTTGAACCTGGGATTGTGTATTGTTGAACTGCTAGTAGTTATGGTAGTAACTCCCAGATGACTACTGCATTGTATACTGAGGTACTGATGTATGATGTTCTTTGCAGGCACTTCCGTACCCTTTGCTCAGATGAAACTCCGATGGTGCGACGTGCTGCTGCCTCTAAACTGGGCGAGTTTGCCAAAGTGCTGGAGCTAGATTATGTCAAAAGTGACATCATTCCACTTTTTACAGCACTGGCCTCTGACGAGCAGGTACACATACTCATGTGCTTCTAAGCACTGCCATAAACCACTCTTGTAGGTAAAAGTTTGTTTATGTAGTGTTCGCTGCTATTCTTCAGGACTCTGTGCGACTACTGGCAGTAGAAGCTTGTGTCAGCATCGCCACGCTGCTGCCCCAGGAGGACCTGGAGACTCTGGTGATGCCAACCCTGCGCCAGGCAGCTGAGGACAAGTCCTGGAGGGTGCGCTACATGGTGGCGGACAAGTTCTCAGAGGTAGGTTTTTAAAACTTGTTGATTTTATTAACAACTAACAACTGAGAATTAAAGGGCCTGTATCATGGAAAAGTGAATTTTCCTCACTTTTTCTTTTAAATGAAGGTTTGAAGTAATATGTGAACATTTGCTAAAGTTTGAACACTCATTTAATCTGCAGTCGACGGAATATATATGGAAACTAAGCTGCAAAACACCCCATTTTGAGTAAATTGTTTTTGTGATGTCATACGTCTGGCTACAGTTTAGACCTGCCCGTTTGCACTGAAGTCATAAGGAACGTTTCAACCTGAGCTACTTTTTGAATGAGGGACAATGCTACACAGCCAATTAGCTCTCATGTATTTATGAAAAAGAGAGGCTAGAAAATGGTCATGTACAAAGATGTGTAGATTTGTTGGTTGAATTTTGGAAATAATTTCTGTGGTTCCTTTTTTTTCCTTCTTCAAAGTTGCAAAAAGCAGTTGGCCCAGAGATCACCAAGAACGATCTGGTCCCAGCATTTCAGAACTTGCTGAAAGATTGTGAGGCAGAGGTGCGGGCTGCAGCAGCAAATAAAGTCAAAGGTAAGAGAGGGAATCAGTTTATAACTTATTAAACTGAAGTAAAGAAATAAGTGAAACAGAGTTTGGCACGTATTTGTCTTTCATGACCTTTTTTCTTTTTTTACTTCTACACCAGAGTTCTGTGAAAATTTGCCAGAAGACAGCAGGGAGACCATAATCATGACCCATGTTCTGCCTTGTGTCAAGGTAATGTGCTTTAATGGCTTATAGTATTTGAATGCATATGTTGGGGCAGCCTGAGATACAGTGTGTGTGAGCACTCCAGCTATGAACAATGTAGTCCTTGCTACATTTGTTGTAAACGTGGCTACTCTGCTCTTGCAGCAGTGCCACAGTAATCGGTAGCCTAGTGGTAGGAGAGGTGAGCCAGCAACCAGAAGGGAGAAGGTTCAAATCGCAGGATTGATTTGGTATACGTGGTTGTGCCCTTGGGCAAAGCACTTAAAACCCCCACTGCCTCAGACCGTGTTGCTCTGATGGTGAAAGTGCTGCTCCAAGGCTGGATACAGTAAGGCAGCAAAATGACAGATTTCCCTTACAGTACATAACAATTTTCAAAAGACAAGTACTTGGGGGTGGGTACTTGGGGGTGGGCTGTCTGATATTATTCAACTGAATGATTCCGCTAACAGTGAAAATGGCTTGACGGCCATTTGTAGTGAATGCTATATCACTAATGATGGCTGGCACCACTTATGTATTCATTGGTCTCAGGATCAGTGGCTAGCGGTCAGGATCTGTTGAGATTTCCAGGATTTGTGATGTTTGTGTAATGCTTGTTGGAGATTTTAGTGAGAGAACAAAACACAAAGAATACAAAATTGCGAATGCTGTCAAACCGATAAGGCTGAGGGGTGCATTTGTGATTTGTTATAGTGTCGATTGTGACATGGAAAAGTAAGTTTTGTTACATTAGTAACATAATGAGAGCTCAACTAGCAGCGGGTTGGGGTTGGTGGTGTGGCAGGGAGTCCGAAAGACGGAACCACAACACAGGACCATGGACATTTGTATCATAGTTTCAATCTTGGTTTCAGAATCGTTATACCCCTACTACAGATTATTACATAGCAGGAATAATAACTTTAAAAGGTGGTTTGAGGCTGAAACTCAAAGTTAGTGCAACAGTAAAAGTTCTCAGAGAATGCCACAGTTTGCAAAGAAGCACTTTAACAAAGTTTTAAATGCTGTCTGGTGGGCTTACTCTGAGTCAGATTCTCACCCGTCACACTAATACATAGCGCAGTGACAACGTGATATTTGCAAGTCTTGTATATGACTGATTTTATTTATTTTCATGTCCTGCACAGAGCAGAGTAAGTAGTCATTGAGTTAAATACTATCAAGATGTTTGCGTTTCATGCAGTCATTGTTCTTTTTTCTGTTTTGTTACCTTTCAAGCTGTAGTTTTCTGGAGTTCGTTAGGTTATCATTTCCCTTTTCTGTTCATGGCCAGTAGAAGTTTTTCCATGTTTACTGTGTACTTCCCCTCCCCCTTTTACATCTGCATGCTTAGAGGTCAGTCATCTTACTGCTTTCAGGTCACTCACTCTTGAAAGTTCAGTCAGAGAAGTGTTTAGTCTCCCAGGAGCCCATGAGCAGCAGGGGTCACTGTTGTAACTACATTTTGTAGTTGTTTATTTCCAAGTTGAGACTACCAATTCATTCGTTCTCAGGCTGGGATCAGCTTATTCAGTACTTTAATACATTATACCGCCTGCCTTATCTTTCAGACAGTGGAAAAATAAAGAAACAACTAAAGTTATGGTGAACTGCTCGGTTTTCTTTCACTGCTGTGTTTTTTCAGTGCAGTTTTACTTTTATTATTATTTCTTAAAAGTTAATCATATTAAGACAATTATAATTTAGTGATTGTCAAATTATGTTACATTTTAGGGAAGGGAAGGCTAGAATGTAGAGTTGTTTTCATGCAGAGTGTGTTTTTTGCTTTGGGTCTTTAGGTTATGTCCTAAACCAAAATCAGCATATTCAGAAGGAAGGTCGCTGGGTTCACCAAGCCATGCATGCCCAATCAAGCATAATTGATGTCACGAAGGCAGATACTAATTAGTCTACTAAGACTTCCTCACTGTGACTGCTGTTCTGTGGCAGAGATAATTAAGCATTTTTCATTATAGTGTCTAGTGATACCTGACAGAAGATATAGTAAAAGGTGTACTTGTCTCCTGCAGTAATGTCCCTGTAGTTTAAAGGATGTTTTCCCAGTTGTTGTAATAGGGAAAACCCCCATTCTGATATGTGATCTTCTTACTGCTTAGATGCAAAATGTCTTTCTGCAGTCATGTAACTTTTTGAACTGTGTGCAAATCATTGTAAACAATGAAGGGCATGGATTATTCAACCGACAGAAATTTCTTGTCAGATGACTAGGACAACAAGCAAAGTAGGATACGGAAATTGAACTAGGTTTGTGATTGTCATGAGCATGTACCATCTTTTGATCGTGACTGAGGGTCATCTTAAATGTTATCCGCAGCACCTTTCTCCACTAACCAGCACGGCAGCTTATCTGGTCACACCATGTTATCTGCCCTTGCCGCTTAAACCAGAGGAAGTAAACATGCTTTCTAGTCAGAAAGCCAACTTTGTTTTTAGTATGGTTTGGTAGTTTTACTGTAGGTTTAATAAATAATGTGTTTACTGCCTATTAATTGCTTTTGGTTAAAATAATAAAACGGTGAAAGTTTAACCATGTGAAGTTGCCTGAAGGCTACTGATACTGTAGCTATGTGCTGTCTTTTTTTTGTTTTATTCTAAAGCCAGACAACATATCAGAGCTGATTGTGCACATGGGCTAAACTTACATGTAAAAACAAAAAAAACAGATTGCAAGATAAACATAATTACTTTAGGGCCTCTTAAAGCCATGAACGGTGTGTTCTCAGACATTAAAATTGATCGTGATAAATGGTAACTACCAGTAATTGACCATGCCATTGTCAGCTCATGCAAAATTTGAACCGTTGTTTTCCGTGTGTAAGGTGATTGTCCTAGCTACTCTGCTAGCCAAGTGCTTTAGCGTTTGCCCCTTCATGGGTATTTTTTTTTTTATTAGCCTATAGGTCAGTGGCATGGCTGGTTGTCAGGAATGGTTGACTGCTGTAGGGATTCCAAGTGGCTCTATGACATATTTGTGTGATGTTTACTGGCTGATGTAGTGCCAGAACACTGATGGACAAAAATATGAAAATGACAACTATAGAAGTATAGAACACTATATAACCAATGCTGAAACTAAAATGTTTTTTAAGATAAAATACATGCACATTTTGAACTTGATGCCAGCAACATGTTTCCAAAAGTTGGGACAGGGGCAACCAAAACCTAACTAAGTTAATTGGCAACAGGTCAGTAACACAATTGGTTATAAAAAGCGCACCACAGAGAGGCTGAGTCTTTGAGAAGAGTGGGAGGGGGAAATTCACCACTCTGTGAAAGACTATGCAGGCAAATTCAAGAATAACGTTTCTTTATGTAAAATAACAAAGAACTTGGGGATTTCATCATTTATGGTGCATAATATCATTGAAAGCCTTCAGGCGGCACTGCTTTAAAAACAGATGCGATTCTAAAGTGGAAATCACTGCTTTGTCGCTGCATCCACATATGCAAGTTAAAGCTCTGCCAGGCAAAGAAGAAACCATACAGGATTTAGAAATGCCGCCGCCTTCTTTGGGCCCTGACTGAACCCAAAAAGTGGAAGTGGAAGAAGAAATCAAATTCTTTTTGGAAATCACAGATGCCACGTCCTCCGGACTCAAGAGAAGAGAGACTGTCTGACTTGTTAATACTGTACAGTTCAAAAGCGAGCGTTGGTGATGGTATGGGGGTGCATTAGTGCACATGATATGGGTAACGTGCACATATGTGAAAGCACCATTAATGCTGAATGATATATACAGGTTTTGGAGCAACATATGCTGCCATCCAGATGACGGCTCTTTCAGGAAAGGACTTGCTTATTTCAGCAAGACGGTGCCAAACCACATTCTGCGTGTATTACAGCAGCATGGCTCTGTAGTAGGCAATTCCTGGGTCCGGGTGCTAAACTGGCCTGCCTGCAGTCCAGACCTGTCACCCATTGAAAACATTTGGTATATTATGAAACATAAAATACGACAAAAGAGAGCCCGAACTGTTCAGCAGCTGAAATCCTGTATCAAACAGGAATGGGAAAACACTTCTCTTTTAACACTACAGCAGTTGGTCTCCACAGTTCCCAAATGCTTCGTGTTGTTAAGAGAAGAGGTGATGCAACACAGTGGTAAACATGACCCTATCACAACTTTTTTGGAACGTGTTGCTGGCATCAAATTCAAAATGGGCACATAATAAAAATTTTCAGTTTCAGCATTTGATATGTTGATAAATGGGCATATAATAAAATTTTTCAGTTTCAACATTTGATATGTTGTCTGTAGTATTTTCAATTAAATATAGAGTATACATGATTTGCACATCAGTGCATTCTGTTTTTATTTACATTTTCATAGCATCCCAACTTTTGTGGTTTTATACTAAAATACATCTTTAAAATAGGACCATAGGCATTGGTGCATTTTCTGGAGCTATGGAATGTGTTTTGGTTTGCAGCCTGCCTAAGGACTCCACTGCCCAATGTTTGATATCCATTAGCTCGCTTATGTAAGGGTGATTCATTCTGACTTCAAACGGTTCTAAGCTTACCTTGTCAACAAACCTGATCAGCAATCGAATATAGCCTCTAAGCTGTTCAGTGAAACATGAGAAGTACACGACTCATTCCCCCAGAACACTGCTAATGGTTGCTTATATGTTGGTGTGGAAATAATTGTAAATGTTTGTTTTCTCTTGTGTCCAGTCTGGCTCTCAAATCTTTTCCAAGTAACGTTACAAAGATGACTACTAATGAAATGTTGTGGAGTGCTCTCTCAGGCTGTGTTCTTTTTAACTGGAAGATGAAGATAATTACCTTGTCTCTGATTAGAAACACTCGAGAATGAATTGGCTGATTTTCTTCCCCAACAGGAGTTGGTGTCCGACACAAATCAGCATGTGAAGTCTGCCCTGGCCTCTGTCATCATGGGCCTCTCCACCATCCTGGGCAAGGACAACACTGTGGAGCATCTGCTCCCCCTCTTCCTGGTCCAGCTGAAGGACGAGGTAAAACACCTGGCCCTTTGCCCATTTTTCTCTCTCTCTCTCTCCCCCTCTCTCTCTTCCCCTCTTTCTCGTTATAACACCCTCTGTTGTTGGACCATGCATGTACATTAGTCTCTGCTGTAGTTTTGCTTTGAGATGATGTGAATAGGCAGGTTTAGTGTCACCTTGTGCCTGAGCCTGTGGGAGGTTCTGATGATTATTATCCTCCCTAGAGCCCTTGATTGATGTACCCTTAATTACCTCCCAGTCTATTAAGACTCTGTTAGCAAAATTAGATTTTGTAGGTATCACAATTTGAGCACTATCTCTGTTCACTTTGCACACCAAATAGAATTTGTTACCCTTAAGATATATTTCACAGAATGAACCCTATTCCCCCCTCCACATTTGTTTTCTAACTGTATTGACCTTTGATCCTGCCTTGAGCGCGATCGCCTGCCAAGATCGAAGCGTTCAGACGAGGCAGTTTCCAAAAGCCTGCCTCCTGTGTTTGTGTTTTTCTGTTTTATTGGTGTCCTCTTGAATGTCAAACATTTGGTCTGAAAATGTTTAGACCTGGATTCTGGCAAATTCTGTCCTGCAGTATGTTTCCATTGGCCTCTTTTGGCCGATCCTGTGTTTGGCTAACGAGCGTGATGTTTGGGTTCGAGTCACTCATCACAATAGCACGTTTGGCAGCAAGTCATCAAATGTCTGGCAACATACATGTACGAGCTGTAACAATATCCGGAGTAGGGAGTCTTCAAGGGACCTTATAAGGAAATTTTAAATCCTCTTTGGTTTTGTTTAAAAGACTGCACATGTCACACTTGCCAAAAAGTAGAATGCTTTAAAGGTCTTGGATATAAGATGAAACAAGTAATGGGGCTTTAGCTTCTAGTATCTTCTGTTGTTTAGAATACAAGACAAATTAAATCTTTGTGCATTTGAAGCTAAATAATGAATTGTTGCACATGTACAGGATTTTTAAAAAGTATTTTAGAAATTTTATAACTGATGTTGTTTGACTCCATGTCTAAAATTTCTCGTGTGCCCTTCTAGAATGACATTTGCATATATGTGTTGGTAAAATAATAAAGGTTTGTCCTGAGTTTGGTGGGAAAGGTAAGGAAGTTTTATGTATGTTCCTGCAGTGTCCTGAGGTGCGTCTGAACATCATCTCCAACCTGGACTGTGTGAACGAGGTGATAGGCATCCGCCAGCTCTCTCAGTCCTTGCTGCCTGCCATAGTGGAGTTGGCAGAGGATGCCAAATGGAGGGTACGCTTGGCCATCATTGAGTACATGCCGTTGCTGGCAGGCCAGCTGGTGAGTTTGGCTCTTTCTTTTTAATTTTTTTTGTATCTGTTCTGTGGACTAAGTGGACTAAGCATTGTTTCACTGTATCACTGTATTCCACTTCTTATTACTGGCTTATTGGTCATCATTGTTGTCACCAACAGAAGCAGATTATTATGTAAAACTTAGGGAAGAACATGGCATAATAGCAAAGCACTTTTTCTTCTCATTTTCATTATTTGGTTTCTCACGAGTTGATTAGTGTGAGGAATATTTTTTCTTTCTCTCATGTCTTCATAGGGAGTGGAGTTCTTTGATGAGAAGTTGAACTCCCTGTGCATGGCATGGCTGGTAGACCATGGTAAGTTTTCTCACCTCTCACTATCCAAAGCTCCAGCAGACACGTTGCTTGCACACTAGCATACTTATCACATTGCAGCTGCTAGGATTACCGACAGGAGCTGCTGTTTCTTCTGCTTGGCCCCTCCCTTTTCCACTGCTCTGCCAAAGTGGGGGAGAGAGAGAGAGGGAGACGTGCTTCACGGCAGCTCCCGCTCTCCTCTCTGCTAATGACGAGGCTCTGATAAGAATCCAGCAGCACCCAGGAAATGCCTTAGTGCTCTGCCCCTTTCCTCACTCAGTCTTTTTTCCTATTATAAACGCTGCTCTCTCCTTTCCTTTTGCCCTGTCTCACTATTTGCTATTTGCTCTTTTGTTCATTCAGTTATTCTTTTGTTTTTTTGTTTTTTTTTATTTCTTTTCAGTTCTCCCTCTCACACTTCTTCACTCTCTTCTTCTAATTGCTTTTCTGGCTGCTGTGTGGTCTGCTCACAGGAAAGCCTGCTCACTATCGCCTCTGCTCAGAATGTAGGTCAGCTCAGTGGCCTGGCCCAGCTTCTCTGCTTCAGCAGCTTTGATGATCCACCGTGTCTCCATCACTTCCATTTCACACACTAGGTCTCAGAGCCCTGGATGCATGTCTCTGCTTTTTTTTGCTCCTGGGCTGGATGTGGAAATAGGATTTGACTTTGGTGGATACGCTTTTTGTTCCTCCAAGTGCTGCCAGTTATTTTTGCTTCACTTATTTCTGATTCTAGTTCATTCGCATCTGAATCACTAGTAACTGGGATTAATACTTTAGTTGGTCTTCATATTCGAAGTTAATGTTATAAGCTGTTCATTTAGATGTACTGGATTAGGTGAATTAATTAGTCTGGTTTTGATTATCCAGATGTTTTAATTGCAAATCTGCAAGCTGTAGAGGTCTTTCTGTAGAGGTTTTCACTGAGCGCATACAGATGCACCACACACACTCAAACAAAGGGCCAGGTGGGTTACATCACTGGAACCTTCCTGTCCATCCCTCTTGCAGCAGGCCAGGTGTTTTACATAAGCACACCAGAGCTGCAGTTTTCTGTTCATTCTGCAATTGTTAGCATCTTTTTTTTTTTTTTCCCTCTTTTCCTTTGCATGTTTTCATTGTATCAAATATCTCACCCTACGTAAACAGCACATGCACAGTTTTGGAGCCATGAAATAACATTTAGAAATGGTGTGTTGATATCGTTATTGAGCTGATATCCAGCATTTCCTCCTGCTCGGATATCTGATATCAGATCTGATCTATTCCAATAACACAAATCTAGCTTTAACTAGCACACACTCACATTGTGTGATGTTAGCTGTGTGTTTTTTCCTGTGGGGGAGTAGAGTGTCTGAGTAGTTTCAGCAAGATGGACTACTTTAAGTGTAGCTCTTTTTAAAGCTTAGGAGTTTCTTTTTTTTTCAATATTAATGTTTTCAAGATTTTGATTTGTGTCTGTATGGGAAAAGAAAAGTGACATGCCATCTATATGTTGTTTCTAGTCTCATGTGGCCAGACATGATCTCATAATGGGAACATCTGGGAACATCCATGAGAAAGTTTGGGTTAAATGTGGATGGGACTCTAGACTTATTAGGGTGGGAACCATCCCAGCACTTCTTGAGGGCGGAAATCAAAGTAGTGGACTGATAGTACACGTGTCAACATTGACAGGCTTATTTGTTGGACAGTAGACCGTGCATGTAATGTAAGTTGGCATGGCTTGAACATCCTCCAAAACTGTAATTAGGCATGTAGTTGTATATCACGTGTGTGTATAGAGCACATTACATGCGTGAAAATTAGCTTTCCATCTTATGAGAGAAAAACCATTTCGTTAGTTAACGGTAGTGTGTCACTGGCTAGCTTGTTTTGCTTGTGTAATCCATTACTCCGAATTTTAAAAGAGCATGAACTAGAGGAATGTTGGCATTGGTTTTAGAGGGGGAGCATCCTTGTTATCTACAGATTTTGAAGCAATTGAGCTCCAAAGGTTTATCCCCAAAAGTTGTCCCAAAATATGTATTTTAATTACAAGATTGAGTCTGGCCCTGCGAGACTACATTTTCTTGCCATTGTAATGCATTGTCGAGGGAGGCTGTGTGTCCTCTGTGCTTTAGTTTTAGCTTTCTATCAAATTTCAGGTTACCAAACTTAAACCTCTTGGAAAAGAAACCACTGAACTCTAGCAAAAAAAATCCCACAATGGCTGGCAACTAAACATTAAAACATTTCAAGGTTGTTTTATTATTGCTGTCAGTTTTAGCTGCATTCCTGCCTTAGAGAAGAATTTCAGATCGGATCAAAACGTTCATGGGTGGCCTGTTCCTTGTTCTCAGTTTATGCAATCCGGGAGGCGGCCACCTGCAACCTGATGAAGCTAGTGGAGAAGTTTGGAGCAGAGTGGGCCCAGAACACCATCGTGCCTAAAGTGCTTGGCATGTCTAATGACCCTAACTACTTACACAGGATGACCACTCTGTTTTGCATCAATGTAAGTTCAGCCCATTTGGGACCAGGATCTTTCAGCATGAGTTCCCCAATGTCAGTATTATTTTAACATCTTTCTGCAGTGATGTTTTTTCTTAACTGTTCTCATTTTTTTTGTGCATCAGGCCCTTTCTGAGGCTTGTGGGCAGGAGATCACCACCAAGCACATGTTGCCTGTAGTTTTAAAAATGTCCAACGACCAGGTTGCCAACGTGCGCTTCAATGTAGCCAAATGCCTACAGAAAATCGGACCTGTAATAGACAGCAAGTAAGTCAACTGTAAATCCATATCTTCTTGCTCATCAGTGTCCACTTTTGAAGCTTACAGCAGTCATACCTTATGGTCATGTTCTTCAGCGCCCTGCAGGCAGAGGTGAAACCAGTTTTGGAGAAGTTAGCCACTGACCAAGATATGGACGTCAAGTACTTCGCTCAGGAAGCTATAAGTGGTATGTCCCTCTTCCCACCCTGCTAGTACAAATCCTCTTAGAACCTTCTTTTTCTTTCATTCACCTTATATTCCTTTGCTTTTCTCCTCAGTTCTCGCCTTGGCCTGAGCATCTTCCATGGGGTTTCCAGAGAACAACCATGACAAAGCAAGACTTGTTGCATTTTATTTATTGGTGGTTTTGAATGGTTATGTATTAACGTCTGTGTAGCTCCTATTTACTGTCAGTGATATTGAATGATCAAAGGGTGCATCCATTGTCATGCTGTAAATCTTTTGCTTCAAACACAGTGACACTGGATCTGTTGCATGCTACTTAGTGTGCACTAGGGCTGTGTTTTCCCAGTCCTGATCTTTAAGTGTCCCTGCTTGTCATTTTTGGGTTTTCCCCTTTGTACCCTGTTTTAAACACACTAAAAAATTCATAATTAGCTGTTGAGTTGGGAGCTGGGAAAACACTAAAATGTGCGTTCTCAGGATACTTGACGATGAAGACTGGAAAATGCAGCACTAGGGACCTGATTTATCAGAGCCTTCAGCACATATAGGGCTTTATCTGTAACATGATGGAAGACCTGGACAATGGAAAATGCCTCAGTTACTGAGTAACGTTCTCATTTTGTACCAGCAGACCAGCTTTGCATGTGCTGTCTGCTTTCATAAATCAGGCTCCCAAGTTAGCCCCCATCCTTGGTTTCCAGCTGTTCCGGTGAAATGTAGAGCCCAGAACGTGACCACTTTAGAGCACCGACGGGCGTTCATGCCTCTGCAGCTGATGATGGGAAATGCTAGTTTATTTGTTTTGGTCAGACAGCAAGCTATCTTCACTCTGTGCTCCTACTGCTACTCAACATGGGACCATTGCAATGTATCGTTCTTCAGCAACAATTTTTCTCTTTGCCTCATTTTCATGTGTTTCTGCTTGTCTGATTTCACATTTATTTGGTTCTGTTTTGGTGCCCCCTTTTTACAGCCATCTTTCTCTTAAGAGAATTTTGTGCCAATAATGTCTAGAAATGAATATACGTTTTAAGGTTGTTTTGGTAAGTTTTGTAGTTTTGAATCTTAGTTTTATGATGGAAGTGCATGGCTATTACATCCTGCATTTCTTTAAAGCCTAAACTGAGGAATCTGTACCTCAGCTTCTTTTTCTGTAGCTACTGTGGGCAGTTGTGACTGCTTTGGCTGTCCTGGGCCCGCTTGTGTCAGACTTTGAGTAAGAGTGCTGGTATACGTTCAGCTCTTGCCGATCTATAACAACGTTCATCAGAACGTAAAAGCCAAGAGCTGTTCTTAGATCAGCACTCATACGTTAGATATTCAATTGCAACAACCTCTGGAAGGCTGTCCATTCTTTTAAATGGGAAAATGGGATGGGGTCTGTTGACTCGTCATTGCACAGTACTCAGCACCTCACAAGCAGCCTGCACAGCCAGAGCATCAGATCTAGGGTAAACGTTTTGTTCACGTTAGGTATCAACAGGACCCCTTTTTAACTAGTTTAAATTGGGCTTTACTGTACTTTTGGAACTAAATAAAGTGGTTAAGAAAATTTTGTTTCTCGGCTCTTTTGGAGCTAACACAGCCGTCTGCACGTACACACACACACACACACTCACACACCCCCTTGAATAATTTCTCGGGAAGCTCTGTGCGTCACTATCCTGTTAGATAATTCCTCAATGTTTGTTATTCTATATAAATGTTAAAAATTGATGTTCGCTCAAGTCCTTGATGTCGCGATGAGCAGTATTCTAACGTTACAGCTAATGATCTTATCAGCAGTGTTGGATTGCACATTTTCGTCACTGGATTTGGCCGGGCGCACACAGCACTGGCGCTTGTCTAACGGAGTCAGATTTCTTCTTTCAGCAGCGATGCTCTTTGATCTTCTCAGACTCTTTGGCACACTTGTCTCGTAGGGAATTCAGCATGCTCCTATTCTGTGGGGTTCCATATAGTCCTACAGGATTGTGGAGATTATTTTACCAGCTTCAGGAGACAGACAGGTCTTCAGCTGCTGCCGTGCAGCGAGTTGGTGGACGTGGGTCTGTGAGAGCTTGGGAAGGCCCAGCGCTCGTCAGCGATCAGGCCTTCCACTTCCTGTCCGCTCGGGGTGGGCCGCCAGGGCCGATTGTTTTCAGATGTTTCTGCTCATGTTTCAGCATTACGCAATGACAGCTGCGCTAGGGATGAAATATAAATAACCTTCACTCTCTTGTGCCAACAGAGAGAGAGACAGAGACACCCGTGAAGCTTTGGACAGTGCAGATGTTCTGTGCTGGTTTGGACTGATTGTGAGGAATGACCTTTGTGCTTGTGGTGCAGTGCTGTCAGGTTCGCTTTTAACAGTGTGCTGTAGGTGGAATTTAGTGTTGTGTTGAGATTCAAGAATCTCAAATCATCAGAAACTGCACTGCAAAAATACTGCATATGTAGAAGGAACCATATTCCTGTACAATAGCGATAGAAATGCCCTTTCTTTGTGTAGTTTTTCTGGTCATGTTTCCTTATGTAGCAGTTGTTACATTTGATTAATTATCTCATGGTTGGTCTTAGTCTTCCAACACCTTATCAAGGGGCAGTCATGGGCTGGAGGTCAGGGAACCAGCCCTGTGACCAGAAGGTCGCCCGTTTGATTCCCTGAACAGACAGTATGTGACTGAAGTGCCCTTGAGCAATGCACCTAACCCTCAACTGCTCCCCGGGCGCTGCGGATAGGGTGGCCCACCGCTCCGGGCAAGTGTGCTCACTGCCCCATAGCGTGTGTGCATTCACTAGTGTGAATGTGGTGTTTCACTGCACGGATGGGTTAGAATGCGGAGGTGAAATTTCCCTCTTGTGGGACTTATAAGGGTCACATAATCTTAAGCTCCTGCTTTGTTGGAATGAACACCTGCCACCACCAGCACTGGATAAGATTGGACACCCCTGTCCATTGTAGATCCACATCCTTTTTCCCAAAAGAACCTTCGTTTAGGGAGGCACCGATGTGGTACTTGTCGGCCTAAAAATGTAGAAATTGCGACAGGGTCTACCTACATTAGCATTACAGAGAGATGTAATATTTATTTGTCATGGCAATTAAAGGTTCTTTCTGAAACATTAAGGAGTTTCATTCCAAAGTGCTGTATATCTGTAACAATTTTGGGTAGAATGAGTTTTTTAAAGGAATAACAGTTGGTGTGTAATGGAACACATTTTCATTTCTCTAATAAAGGTGGTATTAATCATAATATAGCATTGATATGTGTTTAAAGCCCACTCTCAGTATAATCTTGAAAAAAAAAAAAATAGAAAGTGGGCTTTATTGCTATTTGGAAAGAAACCGTTTATATACTAAAGCCAAGAGCCATTTAGGAACCATTATTATTATGATTATTTAAATTTTTTTTTATTTTATTTATTATTTATAAAGATTGCAGGTGGGAAAAACAACTAAGCAGCTTCCCTCTGATTCTCATTCACTGTGACAGGACTCAAAAACACTGCCTCTGAGTGTTAGGAGTTGCCTGTAGCTCTGCTGCCCACAGAATGATGAATGCCAAACTTTAAAACAATGATTTTAAAAGTTTCACCCTCCTTCCTGTCATTAATCTGAAGTGACAAGGACAACTGCCCACTCCCTCCCTCCTTTTCACTCTCCAGAAGTCTTCCTGTCCTTAAACTCAAGTGCACCGCATCTCCCTTTATCTCCGGTCTCATGTTCTTCATCTCTGCGGCTGCTTTTTTCTGCAGCTCTGCCAGTATGAGACGGCTTTGTGAACAATGCTTGTGGGATGAGTTTGCAAGCAGATGATGGTGTTCAGTTTAACCCCAATGCAGTCATCACAGTGACACGCCACCCTTTATTTCCTCCCTGTTGCCATTTATTTTACGCTGAGGTTTTTTAATTAATTAGCCTCTTCTCATGATGCTGTTTGTGTAGTGCTGATGACATTTCGGAAGATGTGTCTGACAGGCTGCTCTCAGGCAGGTACTGTCTTCTCCAGAGGTTAGAGGCAGCGAGCATGCCAATCAGTTGGAGGGCAGTGGCACAGTGCTCCTCAGTGGCGTGTTGCCATGGCGACGGTTGATGTAAGATTAATTACTGGTGGGCCCGGAGGCTGAGCTCTGGTCCAGGCTGATGAGATATGAGAGAGAGAGCGGGCTTCCTGGAACGTGAACACTTAATCCACCTCTGTGGAACTGCGCTTGAATTGAACAGCACGACTAGCAAAGCGCACGGGGACGCAGCAGGATGTTATAGGAGCGCAACGAATCACATTAATGCAGAATGAATAGAACCAATTTCTGATGTGGTCACTGGGTTGAAGTAATTTATATACTGAATTGAAATTTTCCTGAAGTATGTCAGCATGTTCTACCAGGAGGAAATACATGTGGCCTGAGGCTTAGATGCAGTTGGGGCTAAATGTAAATTATTTATTTGTTTAGATCAGCTGTTCTTCCTAAATAGCATCCTCATTGTTGTGATCACATCAAATAACTAGAGCAGGGGTCGCAACCCAGATGTTAAGAAGAGACATTTTGTCCTTTCAACAAAAATCAAACCATCTTGGGAGCCACAACGTTTTATGTCCATTTTACCATCTTGGCTGTAAGTGTATATATAAAAATATATAAACCAAAACACAGACTTACTTTTGCCTAGTTTAAGCTTTAGCTGCTTTTCTCACATCTCTGGCAGGAAACTTTTCCGCAAAAGTAGAACAGTTTCTTGTAAAATGTCTTAACGTTTTTTTTTACGAGGCTGAAGTCAGCTTCTCATTTGCCAGCTTCTTGTTCGAATTTTTCCCTTCCACCTGAAATGGTGCCTGGGGTGCCAAAATGTAAATGCTGCACGATTTAAGATGGAACAGGAAAAATCAAACTAGAAGCTGGTGAATGAGAAACTGACTTCAGCTTTGTGACTTTTTAGTGTTTGACAGTTTCTCGTTGCAGATTAAACATAGGAAACCAGCTAAAGTGCTTATAACTGCAAATAAGTCGATTCGTATCCAAATTATCGATGTTTGTGTTAAATATTTCTCTTTGCCTTTTCGTTAGCTACTTGCTAGACGAGACTGCTTTGTTGCTATGTGACCAGCAGTCTGCGCGCCAACCTTCAGGGTTAAAGGCTGAATTAGCAGTCATACATTAATCCCAGCATTTAAGCCCATTTATTGTTAAAACTGTGTTAGAACGATCAGCAGAGCTTTATTTTACTGCAAAGGAGGGTTATTTTTACCTAAAAACCTAATTCTGCTGTGAAGCCGCAACAGGGCAGTAAAAGAGCTGCATGTTGCTGACCCCTGAACTAGACCCTCCTTTCAGTTTCGCTGACACTGCATTAATATGATGTGGTGGGGACAGCGCACGACATTTGAAATGGATTTTTGAGGTTCAGAGTGTAAAATTGGTCAAACAGTCAAAGGACAGAGCTATGTGATCTACCACAGAGATTCAGACTCGACCCCCCAGTTGTGCCATATCCCTCTCTGACCAAAGTGCCAGGTAACTAGTTAGATCTGCAGGTCTTGTTTCTTCACTGAGCCATCCTGAAACATGTAGTGACACTATTCATGAGCTGAACAGCTACTGTCTGTTGCCCTGCAGTGAGTGAAACCAAGTAAACTGAAAGAAAACAAAGAGAATCGAGAGTTGGTGTCACCCCACCGGCCCAGAAGTCTGAGATTGTTTAAAGGAAATGGCCCTAGAGACCTTGATGCTAAGTGCATAATGAGAGAACAACTGTTTCTCATCCTCCATTTGTGAGGTCTGTTTTGAGCATTCTTGTCCAGAAAACAGCCTGGAGATATGACTCTTGCCTCATTGCTTGCTTAGTTTATCTCCAGCGGTCAGGGCTTCTGTAGGAGCAGCTGAAGCGGCACTTGGAGACCCACTGGTTTCATTTCTCAGCAAAAGCAGAGAAGTTCAGCATGTCAGCGTAAGAGAACATAACCCACAGAATGACCTCATCTCAGCTTCTCAGCCCAGCGGAAGTCATTGAAATGTTGTAATGGGACATTTCTGCTTTTGAGCGTGCAGAGATGA